GTAATTAATTCAGAAAATCTTTTCAGGACCCCACTTTGATGTTTCGGGACCCCACTTTGGGTCCCAACCCCAACTTTGGGAAACGCTGAAATAAAGCCTAATGTTACAAATAATCCTTTAACAAMCAGCTGTGGAGTGTGGCCCTTAACTTTTGTGTCTATGCCCCATTTGTGGCAAAGTATTTACTGTTTTTCTCCTTTAAATTGTCCACCAGACAGCTGCAGCTGATCCAGATCTCTGCAGTTTGGAGGTCTTTGGACCGACGTCCTGCTGCTCAGAGAATTGATTTTAAAATCTCCAGTTTTTAGACACACAAAAAGCTGAAAAAACTAAARTATTTAAATAAAAAACAAACAATGACATGGCGGTAAACTCATAAAGCACCCGAGAAGTAAAATTAATCAAATAAACCCCCTTAAATCCCCTGAAAACCTGAAGCTCTTTGGGTTTTTGGTTGTGTTTCCAACATTTAATTTAACCTGAGAAGACGACAAAAGTAAAATTAAAAGAAAAATTCAACATAAACTCCTCATATTGTAAAAAAAAGAACTTACATCTTGTACAACGTGAACCAGATGAAGTTGGTCAGCAGGCTCCCCAAAAGCAGGAGCCCTACCATCAGCCAGAGCAGACCTCTCCTCATGTCTCCCTCCTCCTGGGACCTGTTGGATCTGCTTCCTTCTCTTTCACATCCTTGAACAGTTTCATAAATACTCTGTCTCCTGGAAGCTCAGACTTCCTCCCTCCTCCCAAGCTCATAAKGACACAAATTCAAATCCACCAACTGCCTCAAGTTAAACATTCCCAGCTTTATCAACACCTCTGACAATTACACAAGTCATCTTCATCATCAGCTTCATCAGTGAGCTGAATAAATACAGGTAGTGATGGAAAAAAAAACTAGATTTGTAGAAATTTTTAAAATGATCACATTATCACTCGTTACAATCTGGTGCTTTTAACCTGTAAAAAAATAAAGTAAACAAATCAAAACAATCTAAAACTTAAAGTATAAAACAAAATATAATATATTTAAAACAAAATATGTGCAAAACTAACCTCTTAAACTCATTGACGTTTTAACCTGTAAAAAGTTGGTTAATGATTAAGCTTTTGTGATTTTTTTGAGTCACTTCTTTATATGATTTTTATGAGGAGAATTTAAAAAAAGAAAAAGCAGTGGAGAGAAATGAGGATCTGTGAAACAAGTTTATTTAAACCCATGTGAACAAGGCTGTGTTAAACAAATCTGTTCTGCAAGGTCGTCCAACTCCCCAAATGTTTTCTCCTGTAACTTTGATAAACATTCTCTGATTATCAAAACGCGTAAGAAATTTCAGTTAAGAGAACAATAAATCAAATATGAAGATTATTCTGTCTATTAATTCAATTCAATTCAAAAATACTTTATTGATCCCAGAGGGATATTAGGTAATTATCTGATTTAGAAAAAGAGATTGTCTCTTTGACAAATTAGGGCGACCTGAGGTGGCCCAAATTCAAGTGGAACAGAGTTTTTGTCCCTTTAAAGGCCCATCAGAGGTCTGAGGTCCAAGACAGTTTCCTTGATTATTTCCCTCGAGGTGACCCCTATACAAGTGTTCTGGTTGTTAAGTCCTTCAGACTAATCCTCAACATGTTTGAGGCACTTAACAGCTCAAAAACATTAAATCATTCAAACTGAGACTGTTTTTAAAACAGAAAACAAGAAATGTGTAACATTTATTGATTTTCACTTCCGTTTTTATTTTTATGTTGTTCACAGAAAAAAGAAACACTCTTTTTATCCAACAACAGTTGGTCGTTTACATAATGYAGGTATTTTCTGCACGACAGAAATATTTATTATTGTTGAGACTCTTTTTCATATTCAAATGTGCAAAAATAAACACTGTGAGCAACTAAACACATGTGAGTCATTTCATTTTGCATAGATTTAACATAAACATCAGAATGACTCTTGGTTTCAGCTCAAATGTGCTACAGAACTGGACTTATTTTAGTTTGTAATGAAAAATAATAATAATTCTGTAACAGATCCACTGTCTGCAACGCCTCCTCCTCTTTCAGTCTTCAGGTTCTTGTAAAAACACAAACTCACAGAAGGACGTGACGACTTTCCTTCGATGTGAAGTGCCAGGTGGTTATTATACAGACATGTTACATTCAATGTGTTCAGTCAAAGTTTGCTTTTAACCACATAATACATTCATTTTGCCTTTAAAGGCTGCATAATTGAATAAAATAAGGCACCAAGAGGATTCTTACAGTCAAAGTTTGAAATCAAGATGTTTCAAACATTGCAGTTTGAKAGAGTTTTCAACATGGATCAGATGCACATCTAAAATGAGGCTCAGTGTAAACAAAARGCTCAAGTCACATGATTGTCCCATCAAACAAGTGAACTAACGTCTCAGACCCATAATTTCCTCATCATAAACAAACACATGTGGCAGCTGGCAGTCATACTCTGCTAACAAATTCTTCAAATAAAGTTGCATCAATATGAGGAAAATATTGTGCAGATATATATATATATATATATATATATATATATATATATAACTTTATCTGTAAATCTAAATGTAAAAATTAAATCTTAACAAAATGATAGTAAAAAACTAAAAGTAGCAAGCAACAACTTAAGGTTAAAATTGTAAAACAAAAGCTAAAAGCTTATGAGAGACAGCAAAAAGCAACAAAACATGAACCTAAATCTGAAAGCAACAAATTTTGTAGCTAAAAAATAGTGGCAAAACAGCAGCTAAAACAAAAAAAAAGTAGTATAATATCAGATAAAAGCTAAAAATTGCAGGATGTTAGCRAAAAGTAGCAAAAACAAACACATTAACAAAAAGGTGAAAGTGATATATTGATACGTAAAAATATTAAAACAGTTTCTAAAAGCTTCAAATAGCAAAGTGGTAGACAAATGCTTTAAGTGGAAAAATAGTGTCTTAAAMCTAAAAATAGTAGCGGCTAAACGATAAAGCTTACGATAAAGTATTTCAGAATGGAATGCAGCCTTTGCTGTTGGTGAGGAACAGGTGTTTGTCATTGCAGRTTTTGTTGRGCTGTCATCATTCTGTGACAYAAGCAAATGCTAAGGCTGCTAACACGGCTAACGCTGCTAATGCTTCTGAACATGGCATTTACATTTTTTAATTCAAAATGTGTTAATTAAAAACAACGTGGATGGTACCTGTTTTCTCGCAGAGCCTTCTGCAACTGCAGGTTTAATGTCTTGGGAAGCATTAGCAGCATTAGCAGCATTAGCAGCATTAGCAGCATTAAGTGGTTGGTTTTGTCGCAGGATGATGACGTCACTAAAAAAAAGCTGTGCACCAACAGCAAAGACTGCATTCCATTCCGAAATTCTTAAATGTAAATTTTAACATTTAACCACAATATTTAAGATTTAATTTTTGCTTTTATATTTTGGATTCAACATTTAGATATAACATTTAACATTTAAAATGAACATTTACTTTGAATTAGTAAAATGTAGAACAGTGAGCTAAATGTAGAATTTTTTTAAACTAGAATTTTACACTCAGAAAGTGAGATAAAWAATGGAAATGTGTTGTTTTACACTTGGTACCACATATTTATGACTTTACACTGAGTATCTTTAAAGCCATGTTTTGTTAAGCCAAAATGTTTTTTTTTCCATACTGAAGCTGATAATGGAGCTATAAATACTCTGCAGGAGTGATTTTTAATAGATTCTTCTTATCGAGTGATTGCTGGAGTTTGATTGTAGTGCATGTTTTGAGGCTGTTGCCAGGTTGCCACACAGTTCAATAAAAAAAATTACATCTTTGTGATTGGATTCATCCAAAAGCTGCACAAGAAAGAAATCAAAAAGGCACTTTATATGTTTGATGGGACTAGTTSTCGTCTGGTTCACAGCTGCCCAGATGCAGCCTGAGCACCCCTCGGCTGTGCAGCTGCAGCAGGAAGTTGAACTCGTCCGGCATGGCGTGGACCTTCACTTTAGTTTTCCTGTCGTCGTAATAGTGATTTGTCAGGTCTTGGTGGCTGTATGGGTGAATGTCGAAGGGCCAGAACCCYTACAGGTTCACGTTCTCACAGATCTCCAGCGCCAGGCTGGTCATGATGATGCCCGTGCTGAGCCGCGCTGCCCTCAGGCCCTGAGAGCGCCAGAAGTGGGCTAGGCTCTGGAGGTACCCCGGGTTGAAGAAAATCGCTCGGACAGGACTTCCAAAGTCCTCGACGGTGTAGAGGGCCCGCAGAGAAACGGGAGTGTTTCGGCCATAGGAGAAGGCGGGAAGGAGCAGCATGGCGTCCCCATAGCTGCGCAGATTCTCTACAAATGAGCGTCGACGTCCGTTCAGAGCGGTGTACCTACGGGCAGAAAACTGACGTGAAGAAAAGTAACTCTTATACTTAAACAAGCCCTTAGCTRGTCAGCTGAGTGAGAATATAACTCTTGTTCTTCAAACAGGTAAGAAATGATTCATTGATTTCACAGATTCCCACTTTAAAAAGAGCTAAACTATCACTTTAAGGCCTTGCTCACTTTTCTATGAGGATGCTGGGGTTCGCTGTCACGAGGTCTGTCTTGATGCCAACATGTTTCTCATATCCYTTTGATAAAGGAGGTAGGTTACACCTGAAAACAAAAAGACAGTGTTGGATTTTTTTAATAAGAAGAGCCTGATCTTTTGGGTCGGGTCGGGTCGGGTCTGGTCTGGTCGGGTCTGGTCTGGTCGGGTCTGGTCTGGTCGGGTTTGGTTTGGTATGGTTTGTTTGAGTTTGTTTGTTTGTTTGTTGTTTTGGTTTGGTTTGTTTTGGTTTGGTTGTGTTTGTTTGTTTTTTTGTTTGTTTTTTTTTTGTTTGTTTTGGTTTGGTTGAGTTTGGTTTGGTTTGGTTTGGTTTGGTTTGGTTGGGTTGTGTTTGTTTGTTTGGTTTGGTTTGCTTTGGTTTGTTTGGTTGTGTTTGTTTGGTTTGGTTTGGTTTGGTTTGGTCTGGTTTTATTTGGTTTGTTTGGTTGTGTTTGTTTGGTTTGGTTGTGTTGGTTTGGTTTGGTTTGGTTTGGTTGTGTTGTTGTGTTGGTTTGGTTTGGTTTGGTTGGGTTTTGTTGGTTTGGTTGTGTTGGTTTGGTTGTGTTGGTTTGGTTGAGTTGTGTTTGTTTGATTTGGTTTAGTTGTGTTTTGTTTGGTTTGGTCTGGTTTGCTTCCTCACCTGATGACAAACTGAACTGAATCGATGGATTTTCCACAGCTGCTGTTCACCAGGATCCCACCGTTTCCAACGACAGCACATGTCTGCAAGGTTTTATTGGACAAGAGAGAACCCTGGAACCATCGAGAGAAGGATAAACATTTTATAACAAAATAAAATTATATAAACTGGTTTTCATTTAAAAAACGGATTAAAAAACTGTAAATACTGTAGAGTGYACAACTTCACTGAAACCTGCTGAAGAAGCTAACGTTTGCAACGTCATAAAAATGTAACACAAGCTAAGGCAGCAAAACAGTAGCTAAAAGTAGAAAAACTGAAACTAACACAACYGTAGCTAAAATCTAAAAGTAGCAAAATGGTAGCAAATCCTAATGTAGAACAGCAGCTAAAACTAACAAGTGGAAGCTTCCAGCAACAAGATAGTTGTTAAAAGCTAAAAGTGGCAGAAACAGCTAAAATTAGCTCACTGAATCAGATTTTAAAGAGAAGAATGTTATGGATCAACAAACTGAACATTTTGRYGTTAAAYCAAACACAAAGTACATGGAAACTGATTGTAAAATAACTGACTCAGCGTTTACAGAGCACTTGTAAATTTAAAAGAAACAGTGAAGTCAGCGTGAACGAGTCCGACCTCCCACGCATGGATGAACTCACTTTTGGAAAAGTGCTGAAAATCTCCTGGTTGACCTGGAGGCTCCTCTTCTTCTCCCCGTCGTAGACCAGTTTGGTTCCCAGAGGCGTGTTGGTCTGCGTTATGATGGCCTTCTCTGAGCCGTGACACTTGTTGCTCACCATAGACCTGGACAAGAACTTTGTTAAGACTCGTCTGGGCTGGCACATTATCTTTCATGTTAAATCCAGCTGTTTTAAAAAACAAAACATCAGGAACCTTAGAGGTTATATTTAGCTTCTGTTGCAGCTTCCTCTTCTTGTGTGTCACAAACTGAATCATCACGTCCAAAACCTCAAACCACTTTTGCAGAAATGCATRGGTGTTCATTCCAAGGGGTCACTTATAAAAACAAGGTTTTTGAGGAAGATCTTTACCTGAATTTTTGATAATTTGCCTGATTCTTCTTCCAGGTTTGAGGGTAAAGCAGCAAAGCTTTCTTTATATCCTCCCTGCGATGAAGAAACACATCAGGAGCTCGGTGAGGTGTGTAATCCCCGGTGGCTTAATTTGATTACAGCATAAACAGAAAAGGCCACTGAAAATAAAAGACTGAAAACTCGTTCCTACCTGCAGTCTTTACACGAAGCAAGGGACTGAGGGATGCTTATCCTCTTAGGCTGGTTGGGAGTTTCCACACTGTGATAATAGGAGAAAAACATCAACAAAATCTTGTGTTTACTTTGTTTTGTGTTGAGGTGAAAGTCAAACCGAAACCAGTTTGRGTTTACTGTGGGCACATTACACAAAACATCACACAAAACACTCTTACTAAATGAGTTAGAAAAAAATCAAATACAAATTTTGTTCAAACAACTGGTTTATACTGTATTTGAGTTTTTTGTGCAGAGAAGCTAAAACCAGTTCTTAATGACCACCTGTGTGCAGATTTTCATGAAARGGCTGTTTCCATCTGCAGATTTCCTCCTGTCTGTCTGCTGCGTGACGTTCTTCTGCAGTGTCTGTTTCCTCTTCCTGTTTGCTTCAGTTTGTATCGGTTCCTATTTTAAACTAATAAAAACCTTTCATTGCCTTCTTGTAYCATGAAAACTATCTTTATTCAACTCAAATTTGGTTGATTATTTCAGATTTAAATCTAAAACTTTGCTTTTAATCATCATTTATTAAGATAATCTTTTTTCTGTTTTATAT